TTAGGAAGGAAAAGGGAGAAGCTCTCAGGGGGGGGAAAGGCCTTAGGGGGGGAAGGGGGAAAAGGATCTCAGCAGGGAAAGGGGGAGGGGGGGGGGGGGAAAGATCATAGGGAGGGGAGGAAAAGGGAGAAGATCTGAAAAGGCCTTAGGGGGAAAAGGGGAAAGGAGCTCAACAGGGAAAGGTGGGAGAAGATCCTAGGGAGGAAAAGGGAGAAGATCTCGGGGGGAAAGGGGGAAAGGATCTCAACCAAGGGAAAAGATCTTGGGGAGGACAAGGGAGAAGATCTCAGGGGGGGAAAGGCCTTAGGGGGGAAAGGGGGGAAAGGATCTCAACAGGGAAAGGGGGCAAAGGATCTTAGGGAGGAAAAGGGAGAAGATCTTGGGGGGGAAAACGCCTTAGGGGGGAAAGGGCGGGAAAGGATCTCAACAAGGAAAGGGGGGAAAAGATCTTAGGAAGGAAAAGGGGGAAGATCGCGGGGGGTAAAAAGGTCTTAGGGGGGAAAGGAGGGAAAGGATCTCTACAGGGAGAGGGGGGAAAACATCGTAGGGAGGAAAAGGGAAAAACTCAGAGGGACCTAGGGGGGAAAGGGGGAATGAATCTCAACAGGGAAAAATGGCAAAAGATCTTAGGGAGGAAAAGGGAGAAGATCTCAGGGGGGGAAAGGCCTTAGGGGGGGAAAGGGGGGAAAGGATCTGAGCAGGGAAAGGGGGGGAAGGATCTTAGGGAGGAAAGGGAGAAGATCTGGGGACAAAGGCCTTAGGGGGGAAAGGGGAGAAATGATCTCAACAGGGAAAGGGGTGGAAAAGATCTTAGGGAGGAAAGGGAGAAGATCTGGGGGAAAAAAGGCCAACAGGGACAGGGGGGAAAGATCTAAGGAAGGAGAAGCTCTCAGGAGGGGAAAGGCCTCAGGGGGAAAGGGTGGGAAGGATCTCAACAGGGAAAGGGGGGAAACAATCTAGGAAGGAAAGGGGGGGGGGGAAATCTTAGGGAGGCAAGGGAGAAGATCTGGGAGAAAAGGACTTAGGTGGGAACGCCCAACAGGGAAAGGGGGGAAAAGATCTTAGGAAGGAAAAGGGAGAAGCTCTCAGGGGGGGGGAAAGGCCTTGGGAGGGAAAGGGGGGAAAGGATCTCAACAGGGAAAGGGTGGGAAAGATCTTAAGGAGGAAAGGGGGGGGAAGATCTTAGGGAGGAAAGGGAGACGATCTGGGAGAAAAGGACTTAGGGGGGAAAGCCTAACAGGGAAAGGGGGGAAAAGATCTTCGGAAGGAAAAGGGAGAAGCTCTCAGGGGGGGGAAAGGCCTTAGGGGGGAAAGGGGGAAAAGGATCTCAGCAGGGAAAGGGGGGGGGGAAAGATCTTAGGGAGGAAAGGGAGAAGATCTGGGGACAAAGGCCTTAGAGGGGAAAGGGGAGAAATGATCTCAACAGGGAAGGGGTGGAAAAGATCTTAGGGAGGAAAGGGAGAAGATCTGGTGGAAAAAAGGCCAACAGGGAAAGGGGGGAAAGATCTAAGGAAGGAAAAGGGAGAAGCTCTCAGGGGGGAAAGGCCTTAGGCGGGAAAGGGTGGGAAGGATCTCAACAGGGAAAGGGGGGAAACAATCTTAGGAAGGAAAAGGGAGAAGATCTGGAAAGGCCTTAAAGGGAAGGGGGGAAAGGATCTCAACGGGGAAAGGGGGCAAAGGATCTTAAGGAGGAATAGGGAGAAGATCTCAGCGGGGGGAAAGGCCTTAGGAAGGAAAGGAGGGAAAGGATCTCAACAGGGAAAGGGGAGGAACGATCTCAGTGAGGAAAGGGAGAAGATCCCAGGCAGGGAAAAGGCCTTAGCGGGGAAAGGGGGAAAGGATCTCAACAGGGAAAGGGGGCAAAGGATCTTCGGGAGGAACAGGGAGAAGATCTGAAAAGGCCTTAGGGGGAAAAGGGGGAAAGGAGCTCAACAGGGAAAGGTGGGAGAAGATCCTAGGGAGGAAAAGGGAGAAGATCTTGGGGGGAAAGGGGGAAAGGATCTCAACCAAGGGAAAAGATCTTGGGGAGGACAAGGGAGAAGATCTCAGGGGGGGAAAGGCCTTAGGGGGGAAAGGGGGGAAAGGATCTCAACAGGGAAAGGGGGCAAAGGATCTTAGGGAGGAAAAGGGAGAAGATCTCAGGGGGGGAAAGGCCTTAGGGGGGAAAGGGGGGAAAGGATCTCAACAAGGAAAGGGGGGAAAAGATCTTAGGAAGGAAAAGGGGGAAGATCGCGGGGGGAAAAACGGCCTTAGGGGGGAAAGGAGGGAAAGGATCTCAACAGGGAGAGGGGGGAAAACATCGTAGGGAGGAAAAGGGAAAAACTCAGAGGGAGAAAGGGCCTTTGGGGGGAAAGGGGGAATGGATCTCAACAGGGAAAGGTGGCAAAAGATCTTAGGGAGGAAAAGGGAGAAGATCTCAGGGGGAAAGGGGGGAAAGGATCTGGGAGAAGATCTGGGGGCAAAGGCCTTAGAGGGGAAAGGGGAGAAATGATCTCAGCAGGGAAAGGGGTGGAAATTTTCTTAGGGAGGAAAGGGAGAAGATCTGGGGGAAAAAAGGCCAACAGGGAAAGGGGGGAAAGATCTAAGGAAGGAAAAGGGAGAAGCTCTCAGGGGGGGGAAAGGCCTGAGGGGGGAAAGGGTGGGAAGGATCTCAACAGGGAAAGGGGGGAAACAATCTTAGGAAGGAAAACGGAGAAGATCTGGAAAGGCCTTGAAGGGAAGGGGGGAAAGGATCTCAACAGGGAAAGGGGGCAAAGGATCTTGAGGAGGAATAGGGAGAAGATCTCAGCGGGGGGAAAGGCCGTAGGGGGGAAAGGGGGGAAAGGATCTCAACAGGGAAAGGGGGGGAAAGATCAAGGAAAAAGATCCCAGGGAGGAAAAGGCCGTAGGGGGGAAAGTGGGGGAAAGGGAGGAAAAGGGGGAAGATCTCAGGGGGGAAAAGGCCTTAGGGGGGAAAGGGGGGAAAGGATCTCAACAGGGAAAGGGGGGGAAAGATCAAGGAAAAAGATCCCAGGGAGGAAAAGGCCGTAGGGGGGAAAGTGGGGGAAAGGGAGGAAAAGGGAGAAGATCTCAGGGGGGAAAAGGCCTTAGGGGGGAAAGGGGGGAAAGGATCTCAACAGGGAGAGGGGGGAAAACATCTTAGGGAGGAAGAGGGAAAAATCAGAGGGAGAAAAGGCCTTAGGGCGGAAAGGGGGAATGGATCTCAACAAAGAAAGGGGGGCAAAAATCTCAGAGGGGAAGGGGGCAAGGGGACAATTCCAAAGGGACGCAAATAAGAAAGCAGGCCTGTAATGTCGGCGGCCTGAGCCGGAGGCGTTAAAATTTGCCCAGGTTCCAGCTATTCAGCTGCGTTGGCGATGGCGCGTCTTTGCATTGAGTGTCAAGCTCTGGGATGGCCCACATCAAAAAAACAAGCCCAGGTGACATCCCCAACAGCCCCCGAACCCCCGGAACCCTCCCTGCAAGCTGCCCCAAACTACCCCACACCCTATTTGGGCTCTGAAAGACCGCTTACAGCTGGGGAAGTCTCTGAAGTCTGGAAGCTTACGCTTTGCTCAGATTCAGTTGCACCAGGGTTCAGGGCTTATTCCAAGCCCCTGGTTCATCAGCGTGGGGCTTCCAATCGGCATGCATTGTGCTCCGGCTGGCGGGGCCGGATTGGCTTGAAGATATCTTGCTTCTGGGAACAACACATTTCAACCAAGGGCCCTAGAAAAGGAACTGCTCTCGCAGGTAATCTCTCGCAAATGATTTTGGTGGGAGTTCGATTTCAGCCTCCCCAATCCTGGAAAGGCGAGAGAAGCCATGGCTGAGTTTCGGATACCTCCGTCTCTTGGGCGAGTGCAGTATAGCGAGGCCCGACGTTGCGCATCGAGCTCTGCGTTTCGACCATGGCGCCAAACCCGTGCCCGCTTGCACCAAGCAATAAACTCATGTGCGGCTGTTCCGGTCTTCTTGTAAGGTGCCTCCTGAACGAACCGATTCCGAAATATCCTCTCAGAAGTGTCAACATCGGATAGCTTCACATGAAATGTCATGACTGAATTGCAACGAAGCGCAAGCAAATCCACCCCATTCTTGACCCAGCCAGGCCCGTGCTTGCTGGCTGAATCGAGAGCACCCGAAGGCCGTCTCACAGCGTGAATGCAGACATGTCATCCCTATAATTGTTTTGCTAGGAAAGGATAGGAAAGGAACAAAACCCAATGCAACATTGCAAAGCGACAATTGGTTGAACAATAATAAACGATAATGATCATGGTAAGCAGCTTTGCCAGCTGGGAAGCACAGGTATGGTAGCAAAAAGGCCAGACTTGTCAGCTGAACCACAAAAACATACCACAAACGATAGCAGCTTTCACAGAAATGGCCCCTTAGACACCTTTCCTCACAGATTGCAATGGCTGAAAAAGTTGGATTTCGAGCTGGAACTACAAAGAGCACTTCGTGCGCACGTCAAACGAATGAGACTTTTGCCAAATTGTACTTCGTGTACTGCACGTGTACTGAACCGACACGAGTTTGAAGTTGAATGCATAGAAAACACAAAACACTGTGCAGCGACAGACGTTTGACAGAAAGGACAACCCAAACAAGGTCAGTGTGTGTGTGTGTGTGTATGCATGACAGGGTCAACACTACTACAAGTCCACAATGAAATCGGTCATACTGTGGCAGTTCCTCCCTGGGAAAACAAATAACGTGTTGCACGCGCGCGCGCGCACACACACACACACACATGTTCTCAACAAGTTGAAGTCGAAAGATCCAGCCAATCAGCAGCCAGTACGAGTAATATGGGTGTGCATTTTAACTGGGCCGCCCTCAGATCCCCTGCTAAAAATTAACGTTTATAAAGGGCCCTGTGGTGGACATGTTTTAGACGGAGATTCATGTCCGCCCACCACCTGTACGGTGGTTCCGCGTTTAAAGTCATAGCCAGACATGTTTGCGTCAGTCCTTCCGAATTTCCTGGCAACATGTGCGACCGTGTTGCGCACGTGCCCTTCTTTGCGAGCTCAGCCGAATGCAGCAGGGATTGGTCCTGCAAGTGGTAGAGTCCTGGCATCTGGCGAACCGGAGGTTGTCCAACATGCGGATCCACTGACATGTTACTTCAAGGTATATATCCCAGACCGGGGACCCCCGAATGGGAAGGGAACCCGACTGGAATCTACACAGCTTCTAGGCTCATGTCAAATGGCCAAAGAGTGCACAGCTCAAGAAGTACGTACGTGCGCGCTTCATTCTAGAAACCAAATGGCTTTGGACCTCTGGATGACAAGTTGTCTAACAAATGGCCCCTTTTGGACCTTGGTGCAGCCTCGTGCCGTCTTTAAGGGGGGATATCCGGTCGGCTGAAATTTGGACTACCCCAAAATACGTGTCAACCCAGAGTAAGATCTTGTGCTTTCTCAAATCAGATCGCGGGATGCCGTCCTTGCCACTGCAAACACCACAGCTTCCCCTTAGACGTGGCAACAAAAAAACACCATGCGTCAATGAAGGGATGAAACAGAACTGCGCGGCAATAATACTCCCGGAGAATTTGCGACAGGCGGCACACGGTGAAAATTGTCATTGTAGCTCAAGGATGTGTTCGCGATCCCCGCCACTATTGGATTATGGGACGGCCACACATTCAACCAAGGGCACAAAAGCACGTGTTTGCGTAGTTTGATTCCCTCTGAAGAAACCGAAGGGACTTGCCCATAACGTAACTTTAAATAGCGCTTTGGCGGCATGAACACATCAGCTATGTTTCATCCGCACGCAAGAAGCAAGCACAACGCACAACGGAACAACCAACAAGTGGCTAGGATTCTACAGTAGAAGACAAGATATCCACGCGGCATCCAACCAACATTGTATTCCGCAAGGCGAGGCATTGCCCGATGAGCCACAATTCGCACAAACAACTTCACTGTCACTTGACTAGTTGGCGTCCATCGAGTGAAAACACCCCGATTTGCAAACTACCTTGCATCAGAGCCCCCCCCCCACCCACGTATCCGCCGTGTGGCCGTGTCCAAAGAGAAGGGCATTAGAAGTTATAGGGTAGACTGTAACAGGAAACACATGGATTCATGTGTTCCAAGGCAGCTTTATATGTCCAGTCCAAAATGCGAATTTGAACAGAATGGGCTCCTTCACACCAGAAGCGCGGAACGTTGACAGAACGGATGGGCAGAATGTCACGGAAGTGTTGGATACGAAACCAAGAGACCATTGTTGCCACGTGGAGAAGGGGTCAAACCCTTTCATGGGTGTGTCCTTTGTTTAAGGGTATCCCTTTTTTTGGCGGTTGCAAAAGGTGACCAAAACAAAAGTCACCAATTGGGGGAGGGGGGGGGGTCCCCCCAAGAACATTTCCAATATAGGATGTCTCAAAGGGAGCAAGTTTCTGGGTCTCCATTGACGCCACCTGAAAGGCCAACAGCCATGTCACTTCAGCTTTTTAGGCACCCAACCACTGGTTCGGTTGGAAGCTAACCAGAACATGTGCCAAAATTTAGGAAAAGTCTACAGGTTAAATCAACATGATGTTGGGTTTCCCTTTGAAACCACCTCCAAACGGGTAACTCAAAACACGACCCTTCCTGGCCGCCCATAGAGCTCCAGGAGCCCGCAGCCCGGACAAAGCTCCACCGTCACGATGCCCTGAAACGAGATGCCTTGGGTTTACCCTCTCGGTTTGCAACCAACCTGTTTGGGCCCAAAACGGCTTTGGCTTGGACAAAGAGGTGGCCCCTTGCGCATGTGGCCATCCCTTTTTCCCGGTCAAGCGAACCCAGCAAGTGGCCGCTGCTGACTGGGATGCCACAGGTTAGTTCCTGACCCCAGCTCTCAGGAAACACCCACAGATCGGCAGGTAACGTTGAGCCTTTTGGATATCACGTGCATGTCAAATGGGCAAGTGTTCCAGATGCGCTTAGGCAGATGCGTACTTTTTGAAGGATTTGTCCTGTTGCTCATGCTAGCAAACATTTTGCGAAATTCCCATCAAGAAATTGCGCTCAGCAGTGCACACATACTTTCCAAGTGGTAAGCAAACTCGCTCAAGATCTCAAACTGCCCACAGCATGCGATGTCTGCCAGATCATAAGCACGCACCCTGAAGACCATGTATTGCGCACAGACTCTGCAAGTTAAACCCCCTCTCGCTAAACACACCCTCAACAGACAATCGGCACTGCACACATGCCCGCCAAATCATAATCATAGAAGGCAGCAAAAAACAGAATACAGCAAAGGCAAGCAAGCCGAGAAGCGAAACAAGCCAGGAATCCAGAAAATTCGAGCCAGACAAGCCAAGAAGAAAGACAGAACAGCCCTGCTACTCCAAATTCCGGCAAAACACGGGGAACAAAGGAAATCCAAGGTTGTTGAAATGTACCGCGCTGTCTACCGCACAGCCAAGCAAAATGCACCAAAGTAATAGTTGGACAGGTTTATTAATCCTGGGTCAACATTAACCTTCGGGACCAATGATCCCCCGGCGGATTTTGGCGGCTGTCCACATCAATGAATGCCTGGGACACACCACATCAATGCGCAGGGCTTGATGAATCCTCCCAGCCAAATTGGTCCTACGCCAGAGGCTAACACAGAAACCAAGAAAAACATTTGTAGAGGCTCATCACACGGTTTAGGTTGCCGTCCCATTGGCAAGAGTCCTCCTACTTGTGATCGCACAGGGTATTTTTCAATTTTGAAAGTCCTGAAATTTGCAGTGCTGGCAGGTTGCATGGATTTAAAGCCAATCCCATCGAACCACTTCGCCTAGGACAGCCTCTTACATCAAGGTAATAGCTCTAAATGTAAATTAAACTTGATTAGCTGTTGAGTAAAGCAATGATTGCTGCCTCGGCCTCTGCGGGGCGCAAACCTATCTTGCCGTCTTGTTTATATATGGCCCCAACAGTCTAAGCTTTTCTACGACACTTGCGAATGCACACTAATGATGCTTCCTTTTTCCAGTCACTTGCTGTTTGTGTGAATGCTTATCGTTTTGTGGGGGAAGCAGGACGGGTTGAAAAAGGGACCGCCGAATACTTAACTGAGAGTTTTGCACATCTTCATGTGCTTGGCCGGGGTAAGATGTGTTGCATGGTTGTCTTTGAAGTGTTGGATGCTCTCGTGGATTGCATTGGCACACTCAAGATTGGGCAAATCTTGGTGCTAAAACGGCTGCTACGGACTTTCTCAATGATGCCGCCCGCGTTTGCACTTGCACAACGATTGAGGCCTTCCCCCTCGTCACGCCTCCACAGGAAGAGCGTCTGCTACGCGCAAGCAGAGTATTGCCTGCGCCTGGCTGGAATCGAAACACCATGTTCAAGGAGTGGAATTGCCCAAATAAAGTCTAAACTTGTTGTTGACCCCTAAAAAAATGTCTTTCCAGAACATATAAAGTCCAGGAACGCAAGGAGTGAGTTGCTCATGCAGGTGGTGGTACAAACTCTTGGGGCCCCTGTCTGGTGCACTTAGGGATGGCCATTGTCAACATTCCCATAAAGGGGTCCGTGAGAGTGCCTAGCAAAACACAAGTGCCACTCTCAAGATCGGCAAGCTGAAGGCTGGCATGAGAATGCAAGAGAGAAACAGTCTCTGTTTCCTGTCTTGGCATGGCCGCATGTGCTTGCGTCTTTGAGTAAGAGACCCAAAATTGTGATTGTTCCTTTGGTTCCAATTTGAAACCACCCTAACGGTACTCTCAACAAAAGACACCCCATGTTGTGAGTCCTTCGATGTAAGTCAGGGATCCTGTGAATGCCTGGCATCCGCTGCTGGATTCCATTTCCCTGTATAGTCAACCGAAGGAACCACCCCTTAAAAAGCCAAAAGTTGATGGCTGGTTATTTCCTAAACCTGCAACTGGGATCCACTGGGGTCTATAGCAATTAGACTGAGACTTTGGACTACATGGTCCTTGGGGTGTTCCCTTTGACATTACACGACTCGATCTAGAGCTGTTCGCATGCTTGTGGATTCCATCGATGAGTCCTGATGGCCCCGGTTTTTGCGCTCTTTTAGTTCTCTTTGAATATGGGGATCCACGAAAGCGACCGGCACCGGTTTCATCAGTTTTCTAGAACAGTGACAATAGCCACACCGCATCTCCGAAAGGATGCTTCTCAAAAAAGGTCTACCATATGCTTCTATTGGGTGCCTTTGCATCTCGCCAAGGCATTATGAGGGATTGACTGAAATGAGGGCTCATTTTGCGACGCTGGTCTCATTTTGCGTTGGGCAGGAAAAAGCTAGCACGTGGTAAATGAAATGGACAATAAAGCGACCGGCAACATGGACAGAATATTGGTGTAAAATAGTGACACTCCCCACTTGACTTCCCTTAGGATCAATTAACAATCCCAATGTCACCATGCCCTCCCTGAACGCCATGCCCCAGTTCAGCTAGTTGAATACGGACCCCCGCGCCTCACCCAAACTGTCTGCCTGAGAGCTCCCAGCACTCGAACACAGAATTGCTTGTTTCGCAGGGTGGATCTTCTAGCGATGTTCGAAACTTCCATAATAAGGTGAGTCCAACGTTACATTGCACACCATCCGGCTGTCTGCCGAAGAAGCTGAATGCACGCCAATGGTGCTAAACCCCTGAATGCCACAGTTTGCCATATATATATATATAGATTAATGCGGAGGCCTGTGCTACCTCCTTGGCAGGTATATGGTTAGCATGCAAGATTCAACTCTCGTGGAGCAACCATTGATTCCTGTGCTGCAGGACATAATACCATCTGGGTGACGTATAGTTAATCAGTCTCCAACTCAGAAAGAACCGTTGGCGTACGGGGCGCTGTGAGCCTATAAGCACACCGGCTGGATGTTCCGTCAATACAGGCGACTTGTATGACTATTAGCACAGTAGAACTTCGGTCCCAAAGGTATACCAACTCGCCCAGTATCATCTTTTTACTCTTGGGGTTTGGTCATTGTTTTGAGGTTCGGAGAAACCCCGTGTTTCTGCAAGGCCAAAGAAGGGCAAATAATGGTATCCAGTGAATTGCGGAGTGTGCCGTACAAGTGCAATGTGCTTCTCAACACGGCACCCCAGAGCGACAACGATTGACATCCGTCCAGGGTTCCGGGCGGAGGCACGTGCAAGCCTTACCACCTGCCATCAAACTGCTCATCCGCGAGGACTGTAAAGTTCTTAGCCACCCCCAGCAGATCTGTGTGGCTATTGCCCCTTTCGGAAACGAGCAGTCTAAAAATTAGAGGGGAGGCATTTGGAATCTTGATATCGGCCTGATTATTCTGGAACCAGGAGAATGTTTCCAAGCGGATGCCTTTTTATTCAGTGACGGCCTTTTGGGCTCCATGTGGGATTGTCTCAAAGAGGAAACCCAAGCTGAAATGGGTGGTTTCCTTTGGTTTCCTTGTAACGCCATCCAAAAAGGGCGCCCTCAAAGAAACACACCCGTGTTCATCTGCAAAGCCCAAAGTGTCATGCCCATTTCACCACCCTGCCTCGCATTCGGGCGCCCAGATTCCACCAAGCCTGTCTTTGCAGGAAGGAAGGGCGCTGGGCGTTTGCTTCGGTGAGTCCAAAGATGGGCAGCTAAAATTGGCGCGGATTCCCTCGATGTTCCCTTCAAAGCCCTCCGTTCAGCTTGGCTGGTGCTTCAGCTGGACCACATGGGTACCCAGAGGCTTCGGAAAGCAAAACTCAAGCATGCGCCACAAACAGGCTCTCTTTCCATGGAACAAACAGAAGCTATGCACCAAACGGGAACTAGGAAATCCCCCAGAAAACACCAGTAACTTGAGTGGAATCCGACTTGTCATGGACTTATGACTTCCCCATCCCATCTCAGATTGATTCATCGCCTGGCAGTGGCCACCTGGTCAAGGGGAACCATGTGGCTCGCCTTGCCTCAGCGAGAGCGGTTCCTTTCAAACGAGGTCTCTGCATGAAGGGTACTTGCGAGCGAAGCACTCAATGGACATGCGAAAATTAGTAAGTCAGCTTCGGCTTGCTGTCTTCCCTCGCAAACTGACCATAGATTGCCGGACAGTTTGACTGGACAGATGCGGTATCTAAATATGGTTAAGGGTGGCCGCGCCGAACTCTGGAGACTAGGGCCTGTTGACTCGTTGACCCCAAAGCTTTCAGCCGGGGCAAAAAGAAACGCCCGGCCCCATTTTGGAAACACTCATGTAACGCCGCAAACAGTCGCGAGTCAAGGCCAATCCGCCTATCATTACACAAAACAAACGGAGAAAGCGTCCACTCTGGGCCGGGGTCCAGCACGAAGGTGCAAGGTCTTGTGCTGCCACCCTGGCAAACCTGGGCTGCTTCAAGCAAGTCACTGGATCTGCTTTGGGTCGTCTTTGACTCCCGAAATCGAATCGCTTACAAGTCAAAGGGAGAACATTCAAGATTGGGGGAGCCCTAAGATTGTGGTTTTCGTCTTGGGTACCCGCAAAAAACACACTCAAATAGAAACTGCTATATTCCAAAGGAGAAAGGTCAAGCCAAAAGCGAGCAAACGCCCGCCCAAGCACGGTTTGTTTGTTTTCTCACAGCCGATTGTTTTGACAGTATGGAAGACTGGAATTTGTTTTCGTTCTGACTTGGTGATCCGGTCGGGACTGACAGGCTTCACGCCGTATCTCTTGGACACTTTTGGCCTAAAGGGAATGTTCGCAGGTGAAACGGGTCCCTTGGACCGTTGGACTTGGCCTAAAGGGAATTCGGCCAGGCGACCAGCTGGGTCTGGCTCCCTCAAGTCAGGCCCAGAGCGAAGGCCGCGTGTTGGCCCCTTCACGAGGCCCGTGAGCAAATCTGGCATCCACGTAGTCGCGTGATCAACACTGCTCCAGGGGCCATGCTGGGTTTGTGGGGAAAGAGTTGGGATTGGGCTGTGATGGAAAACTTGCGCAAAGTCGAGAGACCAAGGGGCATTTGACATGCAACTCTCAATCTGAGGGTATTAACATGCGGTATGTTCAAACCAGGGTTTCCAACTTGGGGCGATGCCTAATCCAAACTCCGTAGTGGGACAGCACTACAAGGGAGGAACCACGACCATCTGGCATAAGGATTCATTCTTTGTGAACAAGCACCCCATCAATGATTGTCAACATGATGCCATGTTTGTGCTTCCTAAGCGGGACTCCGAGAACCGTTCCCTTCCCCGCGAAAGACCATCTGAGGCTCCCAGGCTTGCACTGGCCCAAATGGATCCCGCCTGCGCGTCTCGCATGACCAAGACAAGCCCTTGTGCCGGCCGAAACCACAAAGCAATCCTGAGGACTGGTTTTAGCGAATTTTAGCGTTTCACCCCATAGATTTCCCGAAATCCATAGAGCCCCCTATGCCTTGCTGAGTCGCGGCAACTGCGAGAAGGAACCAGGCCTCAGCCCGCGGGAAATTGGGCGGGTGCGCGTCAAACCAATGACCACCTTTTGCAGCTTCTCAAAACGGCCACTTTGAGAACACCGACAGCGGCAAGATCACGAGAACCCAGGGTTCTCAAGGCGGGGGAGCAAACTTTATCAGAAGCCTAAACTTGCTCGGTTTTGATGCACCCAGCAGAGATGTTCACAGACCCTTTCACTTCAGAAAGGAGAGATCGGTAAGGGCGGAGCTATTTGTGTGTGTGTGTACGGTTTTGCGGGTACCCTTGTCAACCCCCTTTTGTAAGAGTGTTTTTCTCTTGGACAGGGTGCCTGTGCACTTTCTGAGGCACGGGCGGAAAACTTTCGCCTTGGCTCTGCCTGTGCGCTTCAAACTGCCTGCCCCTCCCTGGCATTGGAAATCCAAAACAATTCTTTCTGTCGAAATGGCTACAAAGGTTTGTGTAGGCCTCACAACCCCCAATCAATCCCTTTCAAATTTGTTCCTCGAGAGCCGCCTGAGACAAATGCAAACCAAGCAAATCCGTCTGTGGCCACTTGAAGCTTTCGCTGCGCTTTGTCATCACAATAATAACAGAACACATGGTTTGAGTGCCTCTAAATTGAAATGAATTGCCTATGAAACAATGTGTCTACGCGCATTCTGAGGAAGCAGCTACTACCCCAGAGCACTGCCCTTAGAAAAGCAGTGCTGCATACCCACGGATTGCCGCTATATTAGGGCAGTGTTGGCAGGCTGCAGATTTAGCCAGGTTTTGCCCTTGGTATATGATTCATCCCTAGATAGCACACAAACAAAAACAAACGGCCCCACACTGTTTAAGTCATTGTCAAGCACTCCTTGTGTGGGTCATGGTATTGATTTCATTGGTAGGAGCCTCAATGTTTTCCGTTAGGAGGCTTCATTCATCAAGGCCATCATTCTCATCATATGGCGCTTTATGGTTTATGCATGACCAGCCCCACCTACTCCACTGGATCTTTTGACCTTTGCGCATTTCGTAGCACTGCTTGGAGCTGATCTTGATCCCAAGCTTCATTGCTTGGGCTCTTATGAACGACCCAAAGGTTGGGTAAGTCTGAACCATTCCATAGGGGGGTAAACGGTGATTTCGCAAACATGGGGAAAGCGGGGAAAAACAAAGACTTTTTGTTTTGGGTGCACTCTTCAAAACCTCCGCATACCCAACACCGCTCACTGGCCAGGAGAGTCAAAGAGAGTATCACCACCGCGAAGCGTAAGAATGGCTCAACCCCAACCGACAAAGCTGCTCACGGAGAAACGAGCTGGCATTACGGAAGTTTCAATGCGAATGGGCCAGAGTAATGATAAATGATCGCTTGATTCTGGTCCATAGCCGGCGGCCTCAGCAAGTACCTGGACGGCGAGTTTGGGAAAAGACAGCCTGCAGTGAACTTGTCCAAGTCTAAGTGGGTCCTTTTTTTTACGGGTACCCTTTGGTCTGCTTTACGGGAAACCTGAAGACAACCACTTATTTAGGGGGTCTGTTATTGCAATTGTGAAACAACTCAAGTCTCTGAGCTGGTCTCCAATGAAGAAAGCAGACGAATTCCCAGTGCCAGAACCTCAAACCTCGGAACCCTCCAAAATGCCCCAAAAGCGCCCCCAAAACAGGATGGGGGATCGACTCCATAGCAGACGCTGAGAAAAGTGTAAACTTCGGCTCGCACTCAGGAAAATGTTGAAATGGCACTCAGGGAAATGAAGCTTGACACGGCCTTACTCTCCACACTCGCAGCACAGAGTGCAAGAAGACCGTTGAAACCAGGTTTCCATCGGGCAAATGCCCACCGTGGGGTTGCTGACAAGGCAACTGTGCCGATGGCTTCAGCCAAGTGCGTTTGGCCGACACTCTGCCCGAAGGGCCTGGTCAAAATGTTTGACGACCGAAAGGCTAACACGATTCATAGGACTCCAGCGGTTGACTGGATGGGTCGAAAGGAAGAAACATGAAGAAACCAAAGGTTGGAGGGTTGGTCAAAAAAAAAAAAACGGCGAGCGGTTCCGTCGTTGCCCGGCGCACGCAGTTGCGCCGACTCCCAGCAGCCCGGCGGTGCCCAGTGCCAAAGTGCAGCCAAGGGAAGCCTGGCAATTGAGGCTTGTCAGCGCCTTCCAAAGACGAGCAACGTGCTCGAAGGGGATGAACCCTATAAACACTGGAGGAAACTACCTACCAACTGGTGGCAAATTGTTGTTGTCCACCAGCATGAGATTGTCAGATGAAGCCCGAAGTGTATGGTTTGTTCTGTTTTCGAGGGAATTGGAAGGTGCTGGGGTGGGGGGCTGATGTGGGAAAAGTGTTTCACGCCCCAAATCTAAAAGCTGACGCAAGGTGTGTTGAACACAACTGAGGATGGCCCCCTTCCAGATTCTACGCAACCGTGCTCCTTGCGCTAACTGCCACGATGATGCTTCGAATAGTGGCACCTGGAATCAAGCGCTGCCCGTTGGCCAGCCCACACGAATGTGAAATCAGACATGTGTTTTGTTGGACAGCTTGGACTCCCGACAAACGGTTGACTGCTGGCAAAAAGGGTAAATCAAGGAACCCAAAAGGTCAAAGGTCAATGTTTTGAGAGTGACTTGAACTGACATTTAAACAAATCCTGCGGATCTTGCGACAGTTTCCCCATTGATCCCTTCAGCTTTCCCAATGATTGCCCGCCCGTGCAACCAACAAGTGACTAGCCAAAGCTCCAAACAGAAACTTGCTCAAAGCACGTCGCATGTGAATCTCATGTGAACCAATTTATGCTGTCCAATAGGGGGCCTGCACAGATGAATATCCTATCCGCGAAGTGGAGGCTGGAAAAAACATACCGGAGCAAACCTCGTGTCAAAAGTGCATTCGCATGGAGCAAGATTCCTCTAAGGTGTCAGAGACTCATGACCCATGGATTCAATGGATACCCGGATACCCTCAGCTTGTTTCAGCCCAAATCACTCCGGGTTGGCGACTCAACAGGCGGTGCTCACCGGCCTGAAGCTGCGCCTATCGGCTTTCAAGACACATCTGAGCTCACGGGAAACTGAGGGTTTGTCCTCTGGCATTAGGAAATTTAGAGAGTTCCTGCATGTCCCTAGCGGTCCATAGACTATGGACATTTGACCAACCTCAACCCTCAGCTGTATCCCAAAGCCGTTGCCATCCAAGCAAACCCCGAGTTGGGGCGTCAAAAAGACAGTCAGTGTTATAGGATCTGGCACCTTGGATCCGGCGATTGAATCTGTCCAGCGAATTCATCCAGTTGAGCCTTGGTCCAAGCACTTGGGGTACAGTAATTAAAGGGCCTGACATGTGGGGCGCTGCGACTCCATTGAAAGTCAGAACTCGCATTGTCACCGATTTTATCTTCAATACTTTCTCGAGGCGACGTTGTTGTTAAACCTAAGATTGAGCATGCATGTTCGTGTATCACTCACGACCAATCCTCTCGACGATGTCTCATTGATTGGGTAGGCCCTTCTTGTGGCTATTCTCTCCATTCCCGCAGGGCTAAGGAGATAAAACCTGTCCGGGCAAGGGGACGGGGTTCCCCTGAATCTCTAAATCTCTGGCTGATAAGGGGCTAAAAGGGGCGAAAGACACCCACAAGAGCCTTTAAGGGTGAAAGTTGACTTAAGTCTGGCAATGAAGCAAAGTGGCATTTAGTAATTGCCACAGCCTACAGTTGCGCACTGCCATGGATACCAAAAGTGACTAATGTGATCCTCAGCATCTGCCCAAAGGACCTGGAAAACGGTTCATCTTTGGGGCCGTGACAATCGACGGGAAAACGCAAGCTGATCCCGGCTCAACCCCTCCTTCATCTGCACAACTTGGAAGCTCACGTATGAAGGGCTGCCGTGCTCTCGTTGATTCACCCTCTCTGGGCAGCACGTATAAGGCTCCGTTTCAGCACCCGTCATAGAAGATATCAGCCAAACACAGGGGATAGTAGAGGCAGCCCCGCAACCATCCCCAACGACTCGCTTCAGCGGTGCTGACAAACCTCACAAATCGTTGCACCGCAAAAGTGGCAACAGCAGCAATGGGAATGCAACTCGTTCCTTCTTCAGATCTGGTGCGAGGTTTGTCTTTTGACTGTTTTCTGACGAATATGGCGGGCCCCTTTCAGCTGAAGGTTTCTTTTCATAGGGAACCCACGCTTATTCCAAGGGTGTGAAAAAGCGAACCCCGGTGCGACCCAACCTACCACTTTTGCGTGGTCCCGTATTTGGTGCTCAAGGCATGGTTGACAACAGATCCGTACTATTACGTCGAAGTTCTGCTTTTCCCCGCCTCAAGCTTAGTATTTCCGGCAGACAAGCCGCTGCGATCGATTCGAACTCGTTGAGTCTCTGAGTGCCAGTATCACTTCGATCACTTCACGCCGGCCTTGTACGTCTCCACGCCAGAGAAATGGCCTTCGGAACCGCTGATCGGGCGACATGTCCCACACAACGCCTCGGCCCTGTTTTCCCAGCAAGTCCCCTGTTCTCACAAAACAGGAGCCCCCCCCCCCCCGCGCGGGGCGTGCAAGCAAGGCTGATAACGAAACACCACTGGAAGTATTGGTCCCGATGGTCCTCCGAAGCCTGGCTCACTATTGCAGGGGCTGCTAATTTCAGCAGAAGCGACAGCAGAAGCGGCGGCCAGCAGCGCGGTGGCAGCGAGCTTCAAACACAAGCATTTACCTTTCTATCTATCGAGTTTAATTCAATCCAATCTATCTAATGCACCGCCACACCCTAGCCGGAGCAAGATGTGGCAGTGCCAGGAACCTGCAGGGTTATGGACGTGGGGCCCTTTCTCACCGATCGCTGGTTTCACAAACTCATACTCCCATGGGTTTGGCCCATTTTCTCAAAAAAAGGCCCCCCAACCAGAAAGGGAGGGCACGGCAAGAACCATGCCTTTGATCCAGCCATTCCGGTCACCGAATTGCATCACTCATAGTGCCCAATGAAACCCACATAGGGACCACCATTCAACTATCGCAAAAAACAATTGGTTGCTGGTAACTAGGGAGGGGCTCCCTTGAAAAACTGATCGCCATCGAAAACCGTGACGAGGGTCACCAAACTCCTTATTCCCACCTAATGGATTTCGATGAAAGTCCCGGTTCAGGTCAAAAAAAGGAACTTCACCTTAGTTTATCCCTAAAATGGTCTTCCCAAACAGTTTGGAGTTAAAGTCCAAGAACTCAGGAAGTGAGCCAAGTAAACCCTGGCCAGTGTCACTCCCTGCCTTTTGCCCTACCCAGGTGGCGCAAGGCAAGGCGCGGCGACATGGCGTGGGGCAGTCTGAAGCGCAAGGATGAGAAGCGTGCGAAAAGCCTACAGCGCAGTGGCACAAACACCACTGAGAAACAAACCACGCACTGAAAGCACAGGGTATGCAGGCCTTGTGTCGAAAACACTTCTGGGCTATAGTCAAAACTCTAAGACCACGGCCAGTGTTCATGGACAACCCTTCTAAATAACACAAGGGTAGCCCCAAAGCAACTCTGAATAGCTGAATTTGTTTGTGAACAAGCCTGTGCGTTTCAAAGTACACGTCAAAACTCATGTACCACAAACTACTGCCCTCCAAGCCAAAAAAAACAGCGATGTGTGGTGCGGCGAATCGGACAAAGGGCAAAGCTACTGCCTTCGGAACAGAAGACGCGAGGACCTTTGCTGCTAGATGGCGCCCAGCAACAAGTTATCCTGGCGCTATCAAACACTTTCATGAAACGAGTCGATTGCAAGGCGAGTTAAGTCGAAGGCAAACTCTGAACGCTTGCATTCGCCGAAAATTGGCCCTTGCAACGGGGGACATTTGATTCGTATGGTCCTCCGGATTGATTTTCCGAGATGATCACTGCTCTCCACAGGAAGCTCCCAAGACCCTGGAAAAAGGCCTCTAGAGGGCCAATGGAAAACCCATGCGGCTGATTCGAACGCAAGTGCCGGGGTCACTGGCCTGTGAGTATTTGGAAGTAGAGTTTCCCATGACCCCAAAGGGAAATAAACTCAACAATGGGGTTGAGTCAAACCAAAATGTAGGGTGCCCCCCAAAACGTTCACATTTTGCTGGCTCAACGCGAACATGAAGGAACCGCAAAGAGCCACGAGACAAACAGCTTCGTTCACATAAGGGCTCACCTATCGCACGAAATATGTGATCATGACTTAATTCCCCTCATACCCATTAACATAGAATTTGACGTTCGGCGGTCCTGGATCACCATTTTTCTTTTCAAGGGACTGTCAAGTTCCATGTTGATTGGTGGGAGGCAAATTTGGTGTTTAGGTTGCCCACTTAGATCGCTCATGATTCGGCCCGCAGGCAGCCTGGCAGCTCCTTCAACGCCAAGAGCTCCTTTCGCACGTCCACGCCCCCCACCCAAGGGTGAGGGCCCCTTGCCTGGCGGAAGGCCAGGAAGTCTTAACGAAAGGGGACAAAATCATTGTACACACAGAAACATGATTGGCCAATCATCATGACGCAAGATGGCTTCATGGCAACCCCCGTTCATTCTAGGTATGTAGGCCCTCATAGTACTCTTCTGCAAGTGATCCCAACCGGCCCGAAATCAAACGCAGTTTCCTCTGGATCTTTGGGATCTTCGAAGGATCTTTGGTCCAATTTCTGTACACCTTTGTTGCAAATGATAAGGGCACGTGGCACGTATCCCAATGAAACTAACAAAACAAAACACACTGTAATGCCCGCTGTCCATGGTCTTACCCTGGCTCCGGTCCGGGCTCCGGTAAGCGTCGAGTTCAGGCACGTAATTGCTTTCAAGTCATGCGGTTGTTTATACCATCCTCCCCGCAAAGGGGCTGGCACCCAAAAATTCAGCAAACCAAGACCGTCAGCCACAGGTTGCGCCTCAACGACTATGACACTCTTCGCCATTGATGCTTGTCACATAAAACCATTGTCCGCCTACCAATAGCAAGCAGAAGTCACACATTCATCATAGACATGGGCCTTTGTCAGAATTTCAGGGACCCGCGAAAGGAGTTCATCCCTGTGCTTTGTTTTAAGCAAACCCCGAAGAAGGATACCAACAAATAAAGTGCCAAGCGAATTAATTGCCTTGCCCAGCAGCAACAGGTCAGCTACGTTGTAGCTGGCTGCCAGAGACAGAGAGAAGACACAAACAACATAGAAAGGGCAGAAGACTCAAGGCTGCACTAACAAACAAAAAGTGAAGGGATGATTTAAGCACAGAACTTATGCCGAAGCCCGGCCATTTCATGCGCGAGTCGCTAGGATGTCAGCTATCAGTTGTCACTCTATTTTAGAGTCTATCACCTAAATCATGTACTTGCCATTTGTTTGCGGTGGTTCAGCGACTGGGCACATGGGAGACTGCACTCTTGGGCTCGACACCTGGCACTTCTCGGGTAAGCGTCACTCCGCAAATTGGGACTGGACGCATGCTGCGTGAGTCAGGGAGTCAAGCTGCTGTTTGAAATCCGCGACTGTGGAGGTCGCACCATGCGGCCTCTCCCGCGGTTGCGTTTGGAGCACTGCACTCGGTTCATCTGTGCGGAGCGTCTAACGTGGGGCTTCTAATGCAAAAGACGAGAAAGCCTAAGCCAAGAAGTGAAACACTGCAAAGCCCTACTGAACGAAACAGCACGAACCAGCAACTTGTTGTTTCTCGGTGAAACATGCAAGCAAAACCAACCAGCCTCACCAGCACACTCAACACACAATCAGCCCAACCAAACCCACCTAAACCCGGGCTTTCATCAGTCAACTTCTGCCCCTTCAATCCTCTCACTTGAACCCAGCGACATCTGCCCCCCCGTCCCCGGCCACATCGGCACGGCCGAAGAAGGCGGTGAGGTAGGCGCGCTGAGCCAGGGGCTTGGACTTCTCCAGCGCTGCGATGACCTGCTCGGCCGGCGCGGGAAGTCGTATCGAACCCCCTTGGGTGAGCTGCAAAGGCAAGGCCCGAAGCTAGGACCTTGGGGGGAACAGGGGGAGGAGGGGTTTAGCTGAGGGGCTTGCATCCTAAGAGATAAGAGAAAGAGACGTGAGAGAGAAAGAGACACAAAGACATAGAAAGGAAGGGAGAGGAAGGGAGAGAGAGGCAAAGAAGTGGAAAGATAATCATAAGACAGAAGAACAAGACAGATACAGAGATAAGAGGAGAGAGAGAGAGAGAGAGAGAGAGAGAGAGAGAGAGAGAGAGCGAGCGAGACCAAAATAAAAGGCAAAAAATAGCCGCGGAAAACCATCATTCTCCAAAGCATAGCTGCCCCCCGGCTTCGCCGCCATTGCTGGTCTAAAGTGCAAGTGGCAAAAAAGAGAGGAACGCAACAGAACCAGTATCCTTTCATTGTTTCTTCTCGGGGGGTCGGTGAGAATTGTACTGATCCATGGCCCTATCATCCACAACGTAATGTCGCGAAACTTTGCCTAGAGGTTCAAATCCCCAAGTTGCCCGTCTCCCACCAACATGGAAACAACAAGAAGGATCCCGCAAAAAAAAAAAAAAAGTCTTCCAGCTAGGCAGGGTCCATGTTCGTCGGCCCCAATTTCGGACTCCCGGTCCAAAGGCCAGTCAAACTAGGTGGGACTTGAGAGAAAACCAAATCCCTAGTGAACAACCGCTGAGTGAAAAGAATGGAAAATACAGGTTGGAATCAACCCCTAGAATTTCAGGTCGTTTTGGTTCCCCCCGTCTTCAATCAACCCCTTTCAACATGTTACCAGGCGACACAGTTGGCCAACCGGCCTCGATGAGATCCAGGCTGCCTGGGATCACAATGTCCTCACGGATCGTTTGCCGGCCAAGTTGAGACATAACATCCGTTCACTTGTTGGTCTTCCCCAACTGCTGAAAGCTTTGGGGTCGCTGCCCAGGTAGGTTCTGGAGTGGTTCGGAGCGGGTTGGGGCTCGGGCCTCGGAAGGGTTCCGGGAGGGTTGCACAGAGGGTTGGTGTTGGGGATACCACCTCTTTTTTGGGGAATCCTTGTTGTAACTAAACGCAGGATGTTAAAGGCGAACGGGGGTTGCACCCTTTTGCTTGTGTGTGCAGATTGCTCCAAAGCGCAAGGCTGGAAAATCACGTCCAGTCCATAGCCAGCGATGCCAGCGCACGTAACATCAAGCTCTAACAAATTCAATGGTCGGAAGGTCCACGCGCAAGATCCGGCGGGCGAAGGGGGCAAGCACTTCCGACGACCTTGCTATATTTGCGTTGGCGGCACCTGGACAATAACCAACTCAAACTGCTCACACCTGAATTTCTGGCAAGCCAGCAAACCATCTGCTGTCCATTCAAAATAAGCGGCACGGAAATACAGCCTTTTTGCCTGCAGGTACGTACATGACTTGTCATAACCCGCATCAACATTGTGGTTGGCAAAGGCATGCACAGCTTGGGCTGGACCGAAAAAAACACTCGACAGCAGGCAGAAGCAACTTCAACTAATGGTTGATTTGTGCTTACTGCGTACCACGAAACACAATATATTGCAGGGTGATCGGTCAGTGAGACCAATCAAAATGCCTTATCTAGTTGCCGGTTTATTGATATGAACGACCTGGTTGCATCTTGCTCATGTGTCAAGGAAACCTGGCATAAATCATGGAACGACTATCAAGACATGTGGCTAAAAAGGCTTCTAGCTGCGAACACAATCAATCCAGACACCGTGCATTCCAGGGCCACCCACCACATGGTTTAAAGCTGGTCATGCATGCGAGAGGCTGGAAACCGGGCTTTGGTGGCCGCATGCTTTGCACTATTCGCTGCTGTATAAATTTCCATTCAAACATCTCCCCGAGAAACATGCATCCTAAGGTTAATTGGGAGTGAAATTCAGTGAGGGACCCTTTGGTGGACATCAAAATGAGGTGTGGATTCATGTCCACCAACCCTTTTAAGATGGTCCCCTAGTAAACTTCACAGCTAAATCCAGTTGCTTCATGCATGAGCGCCCGCCTTGAAAGGCCGGTACGGTGGGATGGCCACCCAGGCAAAGTCATTGAAGAGTTCCGTCTCGGGCGTCAGAGCGATCGCCTCGTGGAAGGAAGGAAGTAGTCCTTTTGGGGATTGAGAAGTTTTAGTGACAATCCGCCAAAAGGGAAAGGGGTCCACTGAACTCGGCAAATGCAAAACTGTTGGGCACCTGTGTGTCTTTTTTGCGTAGGTACCCTTCTTGGGGCGGTTGAAACGTGAATTCAAGAAAGGCCATTTGGAGGTTTCATCGTTTAGACATGCACCGGTCAGTTCGCGGGTAGCAAGGCTTTCAAAAAACAAGGCTCTTCAAAAACACATG